TATCCGTAGCCCACATTTGACTGTTGGGGGTTGCGCTGCAACGGAGCGTAGGTACTGCGTACTGTCGCAATGCTAATACCTTCTCAGACCTTCTTAGGTCGGAGCTGTGGCGATGGTATCTTCCCGAAAAGAAGTATATTAGAGCCCAATCGAGGTTTTGGTCGGCTGCCACCGCTGTCTTCCAGGGTAAGCTGAGCTGTGTTCGACTTCATTGGCAGAACTGCTCTCTGAAGTTGCCTATTGAGAATGTAGGTGTTTAAGAAATGTACCAACATCCTCTTAGTAATCCATTCTATAACCTAGGGCCCCGTGCAGGTATATGGCGAGCATTCACATGCATTTAGCAGCATAGGTGGTATGAGACAGCACTGCCTCCTACCACCTGCTTGTCCAACTTCACTGTGAATAACATTCCGGAGAGTTCTCTGGAATACTGTGCTCCTAATGGCGTCGTGTTGCCGACCTCGTGACTTAGAGGATGTTGACATCACCGCAATCTGTCTCCTCGCATGTCGATAAGATGCGCCGCAGGTTGGAGATGTCTGTCTTACAATTAGGTATGATAGTTGCCCGTTTGAAAAGCAATGTTTCCCTGTAGGGCTGTTTAAAATAACTGTCCGGACCCGCCAGTCCCTCCGGCTTCGCTTTGGATGTACTCAACAAGTTCGTTTACCTTGGCAGTTGCACTAGCGTGTGCGGACTAAGGGATACGATTAATTTGGATACCGGAGCCAGAATAACTTTGCACCGACAGTTCTGGCATCAGCGTGCCCTCAAAATCTCATTGAAAAGCCGATGATACAATGCTACGGTTCCTTAGGTCAGAGCTGTCACGTCCAGAAATGGTACACTTTTGAGAAATGCTGCATTGGAAGCACCGCCAATGTGCGGTGGCATTAGCAATGTTGATATATCATTAGATTTCCCAATTAGGCAAGCAGTGACGAACGCTGAGTACAGTAACTTCCTTGCACATATTCCAATGGCTCGGATATGTGCTCCACAAGCGTGTCAAGCGGTTCCATAGTGGCCTACTCTATGAACGCGCCGACCTTGACTGGAAGTGACGGAAAAGTGGACAACGCACCATCAGGGCACTAGGTGGCAAGTAAATGACGGTAAAATTGGCAGGAGTATGGTGTTCCTGACTCCCGGGCTGAGAACCCAAGGACTGGGACCACATCTGGTTATAAACGCTAACGGGGCTCCCCTTCTCTGGTTGTATTTCTCTCTTTAGTTTGCATTTTTACCCATGTGCATTAGTACTATGTGTATGGTCCAAGTAAGTGTAGATACGCTTGGAGCTGTCAAACAGAGAGATGAAAAATGTGTAAGCTATGACATCAATCATTCAGCTGGTAAAATAGGGAATTGTGTAACCGAGGTAAGCACAGACGGGAAAATGTAGCTACATTGCATAGATGGGAGGAATAGAACACAATCGGTGGATTCGACTCGTCAAG